AAGACTAGGTGGTAGAGGGGGCACGCGGGGGTGCAACTGACTCTGTGGCGGGCTGAAACGTGCGGGGCGGGGGGAAGGGAAGGAGGAGTTGGAGGTGGGGAAGAGGAGGGCTGATGAAAGGGAAAGTGATATGGGAGGGAGCGGGTGGGAGAGCGGCTGAGGGAGGGAGTGTTTTGGGAGGAAATGTGTTGGGAGAAGGGGTGGAACGGCGGAGGGTGGATTCGCGGATTCGCGAAATTAGCCGATTGTAGCAGGTGGCAGTCTTTGCAGTGGAGCACGGACACGTGGATGGAGGATCACAAGGGATTTGATTGGAGACGGTACTAATTAGTATGTCCATGATTGCCTTTTCGTGATCGAGAATGTCCATGATCGGGTTCGCGGATCCGTCGGTGAATATGAGAAAAGGTGTGGAAACAATGGATGGCAGTAGGCGTCATGGTGTGTCCAATTCGCGACGGGGGGCCGGGGGGAGTGAGGGAGGGGAGGCGCGGGGGAGGGTAACGGCAAGCAGCAGGGTCAGCCGAAGGAATCGACGTGGTGTAGTGGTCTGAATGGTCTATCAAAGGGTTCCATTTGCGGATGCCACGTGGCAGTACGTGTATGGTGGATATTGACAAAGACAAGGAGGGGGAGGAAGGTCCGGTCGTGAATTGGAAAGTGTAGGAGTTTTTCGTCCATCAATCAACGAAAACGTTCGAATCGCCGCGGAAATAGCGAGCGGCTAGACCATGATAAGGAGGAGGAGGATTATCTGCTCCACTTTCTCCTCCTCCTCCTCCTCCTCTTCCTCTTCTCCCTCCTCCGCATCTTCGTCGTCCTCCTCCTCATCATCTGCTTCTACTCCGTCTTCTTCGTCATTGCCGTCGTCTTGGTCGGGAAAGCTATTAGGCGAGCTGTGACGTTGCAGCCGACGAGTGCCAAGTGTCGTTCCAGTCCTCATCCTCGTCGTCATCAGTATCCCTGCACTGTGGTCGTAGATGTCCTCGCTGTCATCGTCATCGCCGCTCTGTAGACATCAAATCATCGTCGCTTTGGTGTTATCAAGAGGAACGGGAGTTGGGGGGGGGGG